TTAGGTAGTTATAGAGAGCAATGTGGTCTCCCCTGAGCCTCCTCTTCTCCAGACTGAACAATCCCAGCTCCAGCCGCTCCTCATAAGGCCTGTGCTCCAGACCCCTCACCAGCTTTGTTGCCCTTCTTTGAACACGCTCCAGGGCCTCAATGCCTTTCTTGCAGTGAGAGACCCAAAACTGGACTCGATACTCCAGGTGCACCTCACCAGAGTTGAGTACAGGGGGACAAACAATTTCCTGTTCCTGCTGGCAACACCGTTCCTGATGCAAACCAGGATGGCACTGGCCTTCTTAATACTGCTGTATTACTAAAGTACAAACCAATTTCACCACAAGCTAACTAATAATAAATCATGATGCCTCTGTTTTTAAACTCAGGAAGAACCCCGATATCTGAAAGCTCATCCCTCTTTTCCAGCTCTCTCAGTTGCACTTTCAGTGCTGCTGATGGCTGCTGATCAGCAGGTGAGGACTCAGCTTTGGATAAGCAGATCTGAAAAATCACAGTTTAACCTTGGCTGACCTTAGTTACCCCACCCTACAAGGCTTCACAGCGGCTTTCCTTATTCACCCAAATGCTTTCAGGCCCAATGAAATGAGCCCAGGCATAACCAGACAATTTTAGCCCATCTTATCACCAAACAGCACTTTCATCAGACAGCAGGGCAAGATGGCATCCAGGAACAGGGGGCACATTTGCAAAAGAGGAAAACAACAACACATCACAAAGAACAGTAGAGCCAGGAAAAAACAGAAGGCACAAATAACACCAGCCCAGGGAAACTGTCAATACTGTGTGTGCAAAGCTGCAGGAAGCCCAGCACTTACCAATGTGTGAGTGGTCACCTGCAGGCAGCAGCCAGGGCCCTCAGTGTTGAGACATATAAGGGGTTTTTGGCAGGGCGGAAATCCCTGTGGTTGTAGAACAAAAACACAAGAATTTGAATTAAAAGAAAATAAGTTTGCAAGAGTCAGGGACCTGGGGCTGTAGTGATGGCTACCACATCACAGACCTCCTGCCCTGCACACAGCAGCTTCTGCACAGAAAGTATAAAAAAGAACTGAAGACAACAATTGAGCCGAAGCACTCAGCTACATGTCAGCAATGCATGGACCATGAGATGAAAAGTGCACATGGATCATTTGATAAAGACAATAGAATAAAATATACTAAAATAAAATCCACTGCATAAAATACAACTTGCAATCCACAACAATGGCACAGGACTTATCCTTGTTATCTGCAAAAGTGGACATGATGAGAGTGCCCCAAATGGCTGAGAGACAGCAGTTTATGGCAGCTCATTTGATTTCAAACATGAACATCGTCAGTCAGAGTATCAAATGAAGTCATCATAGCAAACACCCTTTGGCATCACCAAAAACAACTCTATTCTGATAAACAAGCTCAAGTTTGAGATCAACAACTGAAGTGCTGCAGAAATCATTCTTTTCTGAATGCCACCTCTTCACACAAGAGGGTCCTGATGACATCACATCCTCTCCTATAAGTTACGCTGCCTCCAAAGTTCAGTGAGAAAGATCAGCCGCGCTCCGCTGCACCGCCCCGAGGACGATGGCCGGCTCTCCTGCACTGCTCCTCCTGCTCAGCCTGGGGCTCTGTGAGTATGGAAGCCAGAAGGATGGAATTCAGGGCTGCTCAGTGACTGTGCAGGGAAGCGGGAGCGGTGGGTCTCCAGCACGATACGCATCAGGAACAGAGCCTGTTCAGACAGGTGATGCTGGAGAGGATGGGGAAGGGGGGAGAGAGAGCATGTAGCAAGTGTTAGCAAGGAATCAGCTGGCAAAGAAGCTGGGAAATGGCAGCAGCCCTGAGCAGGCAGCTGAAGGGCAGCATCCATCTCGAGAACCCGGTGCTCTCAACGCTGAGTCCCCAGGGACTCCAGCACAGCACCCAAATGTGCTGGATGCCGAGGCCCTCACTCTGCATTCACCCTCACAGCCCGGCTGCCTGCCTGCCACGCACTGCACCAGCAGGGAAGAGCCCTGCCCAAAGGCCCCGGGAGCTCTTCCCAAGCAGCACCTGAGGGGACATGGCCGACTTCTGCCCACAGGCTGCACCACTGCCCAGGGACAGAGCAACACGCTGGAGGCCAGGTTCCTCAACAGGAATATGAAGCACCCCCAGGAGGGACAGCGGCTGGAGCTGGAGTGCCTGAATTATGAGAGGAACAGACCCATCTTCTGGATCCGCCTGGACAAGGGTGGGAACCTTCACTTCATTCTCTCCAGTACACAATCTTATCCCTCTACCTTGCAGGAGGCTGTGAAAACAGCTCCAAACTTTGAGGCGTTACGGAGAGGAAACTCCTATCGGCTGGTGGTGAAGTCCTTCAGGACACAAGATGAGGGGACCTATTTCTGCATCCAATACATCAACCAGGTGCTGCACTTCAGCTCTGGACAACGCGCCTTCTTCCCAGGTCAGCAACACCTTCACCCTCCTCGCTTACACCCACCACCCCTGCCCGTGCCTTCTCAATCCGGCCCATCGCCCACACTCCCCATGTCCCTGCTTCTTTGCCCAAGCCGTCTCATCACACAGCACTGCTCCTCCTCACAGAGGCTCCCTGCCCACCAGCTCTGCTCACAGTACCGGCCCTGCCCAAACACACAGGTGGTCACGCAGCCCAGCTGCACCTCTCCATCCCATCAGCACCTCTGAGGGATGAGACTTACAAAGTCCACAGGAACCCCAGCCTTCCTCACCTCACCTGGATCTCTACATTCTGACAGTATCCATGTGCTTACTGCACCTGAAACAGAAACTAAAAAAGTCCCTAAGACTCTCAGGACATATTTTATAACAGAGACCACTCATGCTCAGAAGGCTGATAAGAAATTATGAGTCCTATTTCTGATTCCTGTGATGGGCAGCATGTGAAAGCATCACTGCTCAAATCACACCCTACAGAAGTTCTTCCTCTGCTAGCCATGTCCTGGCACGGATAGGAAGAAGCTCTTCTGTTGTACCTCACTGTATTCACTTATTTCTTCTTTCCAGGCGCAACAACAGCAGCAACCACCACACACACAGCCACCACCCAGAGCAGCCAGCTCACCAAGAAGGACAGCTCACAACAGGGCTCAAATGCAGGTAAGCCATCTGTGCGGAGGCAGGGGCTCTGCCAGCAGTGCTGAATTGCTTTAAGCACCATGAATTCAAGGCTGTACTGACTGCAGGCATTTGGGGATGTCAGGAAATGAGAAAGTTGTGATCTTTCTCAGTGAGCTGCCAATGAGGGGATGCAACCTAAAGAGCACCTAAAGAGCTAAGAATTTCTGAGGATGCTGGAAAGAAATCCTGAGCACACAGCCCTCAGGTTTCACGGCTGGGCAGCTCAGCAATGCAAGCAGACCTCACAGCACACTGTCAGGGCATCACAGGTCCAAATGGGCCCTATTTGTCCAGGAGTCCCCCCTGACCTGGCCACAGGTTCATCTATGGCCTGGCAAGAGTGGGAGAAGGCTGTTTTCTTGTATCTCACTGTATTCATCCATTTTTCCATCCACTCACAACAACAGCAGAACACATCACACCCACTGCCACCACCCAGAGCAGCCAGGTCACCACGAAGGACAACTCGCAGCAGGGCCCGCATGCAGGTAACTCAGCTGTGGGAGGCAGGGGCTCTGCCAGCAGTGCTGCTTTGGTTAGAAGAGGCCAAATAAAATTTTGTGCTGGCTACAGGCATTTCAGGATGCAGGGAGATGTCTATGGCTGGGTCTTCCCTCTTTGTTCTCTCTCCGTTCATCCTGCAGGAACAAGAAACAAGGACACACCAAGATTCTACTGTAAAATGGTCATGTGGGTTAACCTGGCTGTCACCTGCCTCCTGCTCCTCACTGCCATAACCATCACCATCACGCACTGCCAAAGTAAGTCGCACCCTGACACCCTGCAGAGGTTCCTGCAGCCTCACACCACAGAGCACAGCCCGCTCCTCCAGGGCAATGCACACTCTGCCTCTTGCCCTCATGCAGCCATTGCGCATCCAGGACACAGGGAATGCTGGAAGACTTGTCTTAAATTTTTTTTCCACATTTTCCTCATCACTAGATTTAGATTCAGAAATATATATCACATTCTACACTTACAGACAATAAATTATAAATGGCCTTTCTGAACAGAAATTGTAAACAGACAAGAAATTCCAAACTGCGTTTCATTTGCCATCCTGATATCACCATCTTGGGGTTGAAATTGCCTGAATCCAAAACATTACTCAACCTTTTATTTTGGCCTTGTCACACTGATCAGGATTACCTGTGAAAATCCATTAGCTGCATTAATTTCTGCAGCAAGCAGCACAAATGCTGAAGGAGAGATTGTTACACAACACCTGCTATCTCCGCTAAATTATTGGCTCAACATTGTAATTCACGGGAAGAAATCGACAGTAGTGACAGAGAAGCAAAATGGGGAGGAGTATCATAAAGGCAGGTTGAGGAGTATCATAAAGGCAGCTTACAGCCACCACAGAGCCTTTCACAAACTCTGCCTTAAGGCAGAACTCGGTATTTTTCTTCACCTTTATCAAAACTCTATTTCTAATGCAAGATTGCAATTTAAGTGTAAATTTAACAATCTTCATTAATACTTTCGATTCTGCCTTGCTAAAGAGATCAGATGCTCCCATGCTAACAGAGGAAGCATCAGCAGTGCTGAAATAAACACAGCCACGCGTCACACGCGCTCACCACCAGCCCATCACTTGCAGGACCAAGCTCAGCGTAAGCAAGCAGTGCTGCGTCGCTGCTCAGCACAAGGCACACAGGCGTCCTCCTCAAGCACCGCACTGATCCCAGCAGCAGCACACACAGCTGCCCTGATGCAGCGCCGGCATTTGGCTGCTCCTCCCCTGCTGCCCACCAGCACTGCACACCTCCCGCGGCCTGACATGTGCTCCTGCCCCACACTGCTGGGACACACCCAGACCGCGCCGGACACTGCTGACCCTAACAAGCCGGGCAGCTCTGTGCCACTGTGCAAAAGGCATCCGATGCTTCCACGAGATGACCAAGAAATTAAACACATCCCAAAACTCTAATGCCTCAAGCTTCCGCTTCCAATGGCTTCTCAGTTCAATGGAAATATTTTTTAATTATTTCACTGTGTCATTTGATTTATTTCATTATTTCTATAGAAAGTAGAAAATTTATAACATAACATGCCATCCTAATCATGCTTACAAAAAGAAAGTTCCATGTTTAACAGCCCATCCCAGAATGTGTTGAAAGAAATTTTGTTTGACATGGTCCATGACAGAAATTCTCCCCTACCTTGTCCAACTGAAATCTCCTCAGCAGGCATAGAAAAAATGAATCCATGCTGCTGATCTAAACTGCCTCCACAGATGAAGTTTCTGAAGTAGATCTTCACCTGGAGGTCCTGCTGCTTGTCACAACAGAGTAATTGCCACTGGGAAAGTCTAAGCTGTTCTTATTTATTACAGTAGAAAGTAGATACAGCTTTGTGCTAAGGCACACAGAACTCAGGAAATGAAGATCCCTGCTCCAGCTAATTAGTTACTTAGGAGACAAGAGGTGGAGGCTCAGGAGCACACTGGCTTCATCTGATCACACACAGATGTCTCCATCAGAGCTAAACTTGCCTGGGTCCCTCTCTGGCCAATGAAGCGTGTCCCTGCTGGAGGGCATGCATGACAGCCCCTTACTGCTCTCTCTACACTGACAATAAGCTGTCATCTTGCCATAAAGACACATAGTCATTAGCAGTTTCTTAAAGGCAGCAGAAATGAGTGATACTCCCTAATGCACCCCCATATGACCAGCTCCATCTGTGAGCCATGAGGACAAGATGAAGAGCAACTCTGTGTTTAGGAGGAGAACTTCTGGGTACCTGACAGGTAGCTGGGAATGACCCACAGTAGAATCACACTGCCACAGGGAGAAAAGAGGGAAGAAAGATGTCCAAACTGAGACAGGCAATTGACCTTCCTGCAATCCAACTGTAGAGCTTCTCCAGACACATCTTTGAACGCTCTGCATAGGCAACTGTCTCCAAGGCAGGGTGAGAATCCAGTCCCAGAGACGTGCAAACATCCTCATTTGCCAACAGCTCCCCTTCCAGTCCAATCATTCCAAACCACAGAAATGAGGAATTTTCCTACTTTGGTCACAATCCCAGCGTAAGGCAGAAGCAGATCGCTTCGGCACCTCACGAGATATGGGACAACGTCAGCCATCCACAAGGCATGCCCATCAGTTCAGCTCCTCATCCCATTGCAAAGGCAGCATGGATTCTGTTTTGGTTGAGAAGAAATTGACAACAGAAAGAGCCTACACAAGCAGTATAACATACATGTCTTGCTGGGAAACGGATGGAGGCCTAAGAGTCCACAGTTCTAATGTGCTTGATGGGATTTCAAGGCTCTTGTTATGTTCTTTAATACATTAACCCTCTTTTCTCTTCTTTTTGCAACACATCAACTTCATGCTGACATCGCATGTCTTACAGCCTTATAATACCTTCTGTTTCACAGACCTCAGCAGGCCTCACTCCAGCTTTCTGCACTCACCACAGCGCTTGAAGCCCAATGAGATGAGCCCAGTTCCCAGACACTTGCAACTCATTTACTCACACAACAGTGGTTCCATCAGTCATGAGTGCCTGGCTTGTTAACATTCAGAGGGTTTTCTTGCAAAGGTAATAGAGCAGTACCTCACACTTTATCAAGACACAGCAGGAAAGCCAGGAAATTCCCAAAGAAGAAGCAAATAACACCAACCTCGTGTAGTGACTGTATATGCAAAACTGCAGGAGGACAAAACTCTTAGCAGGGTGTGAGAGGTCACTTAAACACAGTGGGCAGGACTCAGAATGTTAAAGTAGGTAAGGTGGATTTTGGTTTTTTTTGGCATGGTGGAAGTCCCTGTGGTTACAGAAGAAAACCACAAGCATATTAATACACAAATAAATTCAGCATACCACAGGGACATGGGGCTGTCTAGATGGGTATCACACCACAGAGCTCCTGCCTTGCACACAGCACCTTCTGAACAGAAACTACAAAGAAGTTTTGCAGAGAACAGCAGAGCCGCAGAAGTCAGCTACATGTCAGCAATGCATGGACTCAGAGATAAGGTGCAGATGGATAGATGCTGCAAACCATTCCTAGGTCTTCTTTAACCTGTAAATTGAATAAAATGAAATACAATGAAATCAATGAAATACAATCTCTCCTAAGAAAAACAACATCTTGTCCATAGCCATGGCCCCAGTCTTGTCCTTGTGTTCTGCAGATCTGGACGTGAAGTGAGTGGAAAACATCAGTCTGTGGTGATTCACCCGATTTCTGAAAGGATCATTGCCAGTCTGAATCTCAACTGAAGACACTGAAGAAAAATCCCAGAGGCCAGAATTCCAGTATTTCTCATGTCCATGAGCCCTGCATCCCTAAACCTCTAGTTGGAGACCGGGGTGGTAAATCCCCCCACCACTGTCTTGTGAAGCCCCATCTGGAGTACTGTGTCCAGGTCTAGAGCAGCCAGTACAAGAAAGACAGGGAGCTGTTGGAGAGGGTGCAGACGAGGGCCATAGAGATGATGAAGGGGCTGGAGCACCTCCCCTATGAGGACAGGCTGAGGGAGCTGGGCTTGTTCAGCCTGGAGAAAAGAAGGCGGCGGGGTGACCTCACTGCAGCCTTTCAGTACCTAAAGGGAACCTACAAACAGGACGGGAATCAACTCTTTGAAAGGGCAGATAACAGCAGGTCAATGGTTTTAAGTTGAGGGAGGGGAGATTTTGGTTGGATGTCAGGGGAAGTTCTTTACAGAGAGAGTGGTGAGGTGCTAAAACAGGCTGCCCAGAGAGGTTGTGGATGCCCCATCCCTGGAAGCCAGATTGGATGGGGCCCTGGGCAACCTGGTCCAGTATTAAATGCGGATGTTGGTGGCCCTGCATATGGCAGGGGAGTTGGAGATTCATGATCCTTGAGGTCCCTTCCAACCCTGGCCATTGTGTAATTCTGTGTGGCACCATAAAAAGCAACAGTATAATGATAAATGAGCCCAAGTTCAGGAGTTCTGGATCACAAATGAAGTGCTGCAGAAATCTTTTCTCATTCTGTTCCACATGAGAGGATGAACACGGACTCTTCACACAAGAGGGTCCTGATGACATCACATCCTCTCCTATAAGTCACGCTGCCTCCAAAGTTCAGTGAGAAAGATCAGCCGCGCTCCGCTGCACCGCCCCGAGGACGATGGCCGGCTCTCCTGCACTGCTCCTCCTGCTCAGCCTGGGGCTCTGTGAGTATGGAAGCCAGAAGGATGGAATTCAGGGCTGCTCAGTGACTGCGCAGGGAAGCGGGAGCGGAGGGACTGCAGTGCGATACGCAGCAGGAACAGAGCCTGTTCAGACAGGTGTTGCTGGAGGGGATGGGGAAGGGGAGAGAGGGGGCATGTAGCAGTTGTTAGGCGGAAAAACCACTGGAGAAGCTGGGAAATGGCAGCATCCATGAGCAGGCAGCTGAAGCGCAGCTATGAAGGGCAGCATCCATCTCGAGAACCCGGTGCTCTCAACGCTGAGTCCCCAGGGACTCCAGCACAGCACACAAGCATGCTGGATACCGAGGCCCTCCCTTTGCATTCACCCTCACAGCCCAGCTGCCTGCCTGCCACGCACTGCACTGGCAGGGAAGAGCCCTGCACAAAGGCCCCGGGAGCTCTTCACAAGCAGCACCTGAGGGGACATGGCCGACTTCAGCCCACAGGATGCAACGGTGCCCAGGGACAGAGGAACACACTGGAGGCCAGGTTCCTCAACAGGAATATGAAGCACCCCCAGGAGGGACAGCGGCTGTACAAACCAATTTTACCACAAGCTAACTAATAATAAATCATGATGCCTCTGTTTCTAAACTCAGGAAGAACCCCGATATCTGAAAGCTCATCCCTCTTTTCCAGCTCTCTCAGTTGCACTTTCAGTGCTGCTGATGGCTGCTGCTTGGCAGGTGAGGACTCAGCACAACTCTGGATAAGCAGATCTGAAAAATCACAGCTTAACCTTGCCTGACTTTAGTTACCGCACCCTAGAAGGCTTCACAGCGGCTTTCCTTACTCACCCAAATGCTTTCAGGCCCAATGAAATGAGCCCAGGCATAAACAGACAATTTCAGCCCATTTTCTCACCAAACAGCACTTTTGTCAGACAGCAGGGCAAGATGG